TTTTTCTCTATGCCCTAAATTACTGCTTTCTATGTAGCATTCGTTACTATTTTGTGATTATTTGTTTCTTTATATTTTTTTCTTCTTTCTTCTTTCTAACAGCCAATTGAGAGGAAGCCAAGGAAGTTCAATCCTGTAGTGATCCCTGAGGCATTAAAAAAGGCTCTGCCATTTGCATCAAAGCCCAAAGATATACCTAGTCGCAACCACCAACCTCTGGATGTTAGAAGAGCAGTTGTAATGGAACCCCGTGAACGGGAAGTTCGTGCCTTTGTTCAACATCTTCAGTTAATCAAACATGAGAAGGTTTGGGCTTCTAGCATGTTTAATGCTCCTTTTGTTATGTTTGAACCTACAGGTCCATGTATCATGGCTTATCCCTTGAAAATGCAATTTTTGAAAACCCTTAATATATTAGCCATTTGCCCCGAAGTGTCCATTAGCACTTAATGCATCAATTTATGATCTTGTTTCTGTGACCCCAACAGTTTTCTAGCCCAAGTATGCATTCATAAGTACGTTGGTCTTAACCCTTTTGTTGCTTAAAGTAGTTACAATGATGTATAGAAACATTATGCTATTTCTTATGGACATAGCTGGATTGGGTTGCTGCTTGCAAAAATTAGCTGGATTAGGTTTTGAAGACTGACTGAAATTTTAATCTAGTTAATATAAGTTGCCGCCAGAACTTACAAGAGACAAACAATGTGCCTACTTGAACTCTTTTCGAGCAAATTGCTTCATTCCCATGAAAAAATAAATGTTTTTGTAGTGATTGTTGAATTATTCATTTCAGAACAAGAGATTAAGAGGAAAGGTAGGGTGGAGGGAACTTGCTATTTGAATGCTTTCTATATCTTCTGAATAATTTTATATTTGTCTTTGATTAGCAAATTTGTGGAACCATTTTTTTTTCTTGTTTGCTTGATTTTATTTGCAGCTTCTGGCTGCTTCAGATAATAGATTATTGCTGTTTATGTTGATTTTATTTCATCTTACTGGGGTTTTGCAGATGGTAAAGCAAAAGCATAAGGATGAGCAAAAGAGAAAAGAACTGGAGGCACAGAGAGCGAAGGATGAGCAGTTATCGAAAAAGCGAAAGAGAGAAGAACGGCGGGAGAGATACCGAGTGCAAGACAAACTAAAGAAGAAGATGAGAAATGCAGAAGCCTGAAATGGACAATGCTAGGATGTTTTGGCGAAACAGACTAACACTATTTGTTCT